GTTCGACTTAAGCATTGCAAGAATTCTAAAAGAACTTCTCAAGAAAGGAATGCAACATTTAACACAGATTTTTAAACGCAATCCTAAGAACTGGTTACTACCGCCTTTTGTGGAAAGTTGCACACATCATTTTAATAGGCAAACTTGTAGAAGAAATTAAGTCCTATATACCCATCAGTCTACTCTCAGTGATGTCAAAGGTTTTTGAAAAACTACTAATAGACAGATTACAGCCAATCTTCGTACAACAGCGTTACCATTGAGCAAATTCACCTAATCTGCAATTCCATAAACAAAGCCTTAGAAGAGAAGAAATACTGTTCTGCAGCCTTTTTGGATATCTCGAAGGCTTTTGATAAAGTCTTGCACACTGGCCTGCTATATAAAATAAGACAAGTCCTTCCTCTCAACTTTCCGACCGGCATTTCCTTGTAAGAGTAAAGGGTCAGTGCACTAACTTATATACAGTATAATTCCTCTTAACCGGCTTCGCATTAACCGGTCGACGGATTAACCGGCCTGTTTACAACAGCCGAATTCCAAGAAATCAACCGGCGCGGCGAGGCGATTCGGCTTCCCCGAACGCCCCGAGGCGAGGCGAGGCGATAAACAGATAAACTGTGTACTTGTCGTTTTGGTATTTTTTGATCAGTTTGTTTTGTTTCTGCTGTTGGTACGCACGTACATAACATACTTTCCCAATGAGTGCGAAGCGTAAACGAATTGTGGTTTCGATGGAGACACGTTTAAAAGTGCTAAAGCGGATTGATAATGGTGAATCCGTGGCGAAAATATGTACAGAATTTAATGTTGGAAAAAGCACTGTAAATGACTGGCGAAGAGATAGACGGTCCATTGAGGAGTTTTGCTCGAAAATGGAATCTGATAAAAATCTGGGTAGCCGTTGTACGAGAAAAAAAACCGATTTGCGAGGTCGTCGATGAAGCTTTGTGGATCTGGTTTCTTCAGGAACGTCGAAGAGGTACACCGATTGGCGGCCCAATTTTGAAAGAAAAAGCTTTGGCTATCCACCAGAAGATTAATAATGAAAGCGAATTTGTGGCAAGTGATGGTTGGCTTAATCGATGGAAGAAGCGACACGGAATTCATTTCGCACACGTAAGTGGAGAAAAACTGTCTGCTGATTCTTCTGGTGCGACAGAATTCAAGATTAAGTTTGGTGAAATCATTGAAACAGAGAAATTATCTCCAGAACAAGTTTATAATATGGACGAGACTGGGCTAAACATTAAAATGTTACCAGAAACAACTTTTCTAGGCAGTCATGAACAGTCTGCTTCTGGCTTTAAAAAGAACAAAGAACGTATTACAGTGGCCGTTTGTTCGAATGCAACAGGGACTCACAAAATTCCTCTGTTCGTTATTGGCAAGTCTGCTAAACCACGGGCATTCAAAAACTTGAATCCGTCTTCCCTTCTAGGTCTATTATAAGTCACAAAAATCAGCGTGGATGAATTCAGACTTGTTTAAAGAGTGGTTTAACTTAGAGTTTGTTCCAAAAGTTAAAAAACATTTAAAAAGTGTAAACCTGCCTATCAAAGCAGTTCTAGTGGTAGACAATGCTCCAACCCATCCTCATGACTGCGATGTAGATGACATAAAATTAGTTTTTCTTCCTCCTAATGTGACAAGCTTAGTGCAACCGATGGACCAAGGAGTGATCGAAAGCTTAAAGAGACGATACAGGCGTAAACTTGTTTCTGAAATTCTGCAACATTCGGAGAGTGAAGACAAAGGTCTTTTAGAAGTCATCAAAAATATCAATATCAAGGACGTTATCTATATGTTAGCTACAGCATTTCAAGAAATGCCTTCTTCAACGTTTGTTAAATCTTGGAGAAAACTTTGGCCAGATGTTGAGAATCTAGTTGTGATCTCGAATATTGCAGGGACTGAAGAAGAAGAAAACAAATCCACTCTACCTAAGACCTTCAAAAGTTATCGGGTAACGAAGCATTACAGTCAGAAGATGTGGAAAATTGGATGATAAACTGTGATGATCAGCTTGAAAATGAATTTTTGAATGATGACGAAATCATAGATGTAGCAACCAAAGAACCAGAGGAATATGATGAGAATAGTGATGTTGAAGAAGAGGAAACGGTTTCTCACGAAGAAGCCAAAAATGCAATGGAAATTGCATTAAGATACATTGAGCAGCAGCATGAGTCAACAGCATTAGACGTCCTGGTGATTAGAAAATGGAGGGATGTCGCATACAGAAATTCACTGAAGGTTAAAAAGCACAAGAAAATTACAGACTTTTTTAAAAAATAATTACTTTTTAAACTTACATATTTGTTGATGTATGTATGCAGAACATTAATGTATGTAAATACATATGTAATATGTAAATAAATATGTAAAACATACTTCGTAATTTTTTTTATATGTAATGTATGCAAGTAAAGTACACTTCGGATTAACCGGCCAAAACGGCAACCGGTCAGGTATGAAGTTCCCAGGTGACCGGTTAAGAGGAATTGTACTGTACAATTAAAGCTGGAGTACCCCAGTGTAGTGTCCTTGGACCTGTTCTTTACCTACTTTACACAGCAGATCTTCCTACAAGTCAAAACATCGTCACAGCCACATACGCAGACGACACAGCAATCTTTGCGGCTCACTCAAACCCGTATATCGCCTCACAACTGTTTCATACCAATCTCGACAAAATAAAGGTTTGGTTACAAACATAACGAATTAAAGTTAACGAAAGCAAGTCAGTAAATATAACGTTCACTAATCGAAAAGGTACATGCCCAACCGTCTCCTTAAATAACCAAATACTACAACAAAAGGATGATGTAAAATACTGAAGATATGCACCTGTACCGCAGATTTACGTGGAAGAAAAACATATTCACGAAAAGAAAACAGTTGGGTCTGAAACTCAGTAAAATGTACTGGCTAATAGGAAAAAGATCACAACTGAATTTGTACAATAAAATCATAGTATACAAGTTAGTGATAAAGCCAATATGGAGCTATGGGATCCAACTGTGGGGATCTGCGTCAATATCCAATATCGACATACTGGAGAGATTCCAATCGAAGACCTTCCGTATTATCACAAATGCACCGTGGTACATGCCCAATAAATTCATCAATTGCGATTTTCAGATGAAAACTGTCAAAGAAGAAATTGCCAGTTACTCCCAAAAATATGACAGACGACTGCAAAACCACCCCAACAGGCTAGCGAAGAATCTTATGAGGCCCCTAGCAAACAGAAGGCTAAAGCGTCTTACTCCAAGCGATCTACCAACAAGATTTTAAATTTTTGAATTAATTTTTTTTTAAATTTATTATAAACATTATATTAGAGTCACAAATAATTTTGTTACTAAAATTATGATTTAATAGGTTACTGTCATTGGGCAGTCTCTTGCCAGTCTCTTGTAATCTAATTAAACAATTTACTTATTATAATCCTTATTACAGATTGTAAATAAATGGGATGTTAAAAAAATGAATCGGAATGGCCAAAGTTGAAAAGTAAAATGCAGGACTACCATGAAGTCTGCTTAGATGTGATAGATGGGAAGTTACTGAATCCTGAACCTATAACAGAAACAGCAACTGAAGCTGAAAAGAAAAGAGGCCAAAACTGATTTTTATAGAAAAGCAAATAGTTACGCAAACAGTTTGATAGCTAGTGCTATCAATGACAACGTTTATCAGAAAATTATGGACAAAGAATCATCTTTTGATGCTTGGCTCGCTCTTAAGCAGCAGTTTGAAGCCTGATCCAAAGATCAGTTGTTTAAACTTTTCTCAGATTTCTTTTCTTTATCATGGAGTGTTGCGAGATGATGTGTCAACACACATTACAAAGTTAAAACGAATTTTCAATGAGCTAAATATCGGACTTGAAATGAAGCAACTAAGTAAGGTACCAAATGTAATGATGATATGCAAAATTATACATATTTTACTTATAGTCAGTATGAAAGCTTTAAGTCTAGTTGGGTGCTATTAACTAAAGGTAAAGACAAAACTCTTTGATGAACTAGTTTCTCAACTATGTACATTCGAAAGAAATTTTACCAAGAATGATTGTCAGCAAGATAATAGCAATTTAGAAGCTCACCACAAACCAAACAAACACACTAAATCCAATCGTTTCTGCAATTACTATAAAAAGAAAGAACATTGGGTCAAAGTTTGCAGAAAATGGATAGCTGATGGACGACCTCCAAAAACAAAGCCAGAATTCAGCCAAGAAAACGGTAACAATATAAGCCTGATGATAGTTTCAGAAAAAGCATATATGGTTGATATTGTAAACGAAAAAGATAATTAAAGCAGCTGGCAAATAAGTTCTTACAGCACTAGGAAAAATAACTATTGATGAAATCATTCACCCCTAATAATAAAGAACGAATCATTAAACTCAGTGATGTCTGGTACGTTCCTCAAATTTCTCAAAAATCTGTTCAGTATTAGCAACTCAAGACAAAAATCCAAACAGTGTTTTTACATCTACTGTTACACACTGTCAACTAGAAATGAATAAAGAAATTCTTATTACTGGAACAAAAGAAGTAAGAGGTAATTTAATCAAATGTGTCATCGAAGCAATCATTCCACAACAACAAAGATTGAATGAGATCAACATTGCAGAAGACAATGCTAGTTCCTTGTTCCAGCTGTATCATGAGCGATGGGGACATCAATATGTGAAACATGTGCAAGAAAAGCTCAAGAGTGAGCTTAAGATAAATGTCAAGCTTGAAAGATAAACATATGAGCCCTGCATTTATGGTAAAGCCTACCGTCTCCCTTTTGGTACAAGAGATGCTGTAACTTCACCTGGATAATTAATGTAAACTGACATCTGTGGTCCACCAAAGAAATTTTGGTCTTTGATTGTATTTAAAGATTTTTACAGCAAATTCCGTTATGGACATCTGTTACGACAAAAATTAGAAACAAAAATTGTTTTGAACATTATGATCGCCCATGTTAAAACTCAAGGACATAAGATTAAAAAACTACTTAGTGATAATGGTGGAAAATTCGACAATGAAGACGTCCAAACTATTTTAAAATAACACGGAATCACTCAGAGATTAACCGCTCCGTACACACCTTGAAATGGTCAGAAAATAGAGGTAATCTAATTCTAAAGTATAGTTCCTTGAATCTTTATGGGCAGAACTAGGTGGTACAGCAATTTATATCCTGAATCCAACAGAAAAGTCAATCGTAAAAGGGAAATTAGTTATGGATAGCTAAGAAACCTAAAATAAATCACCTAAGAATCATAACTACAACGTATTAGGCACACGTTCCAATGCAAACAAGAAAGAAAATAGACAAAAGGCTATTTGATTGGTTATGATGGAGAAGAAAGACACAAAATTTGGGTTAAGGAAGAGAATAAGGTATTCTTGTCAAGAGATGTTAAATTTTTGGAAAGAGTAACTGATTGTCAGGAACGAGTTTCAATTCACAAAAGGGAGTAGTTAATTAGGGCATGGAACGCGAACCCTCAGAAGAATATTGACCACCTAATCAGAAACGAACACAGGCACATCCATGAGTAATTTAATTGATTTACCCCTGTCAGTTATTTCAATCATAGCGTTTGTTTATTTTGCTGCCCAGCATAATTCTACAAACTATTTTCAAAATATAATGATTTATGGGTGTTCGGATTTCTATGTGTTTCTATGGTTTTCATTGAACAGAACTCGACATACCACACAAAAAATTTTAGGTACTATATTATAATAATCTTAAAATATAATTTGAACACATTATTTTGATTCATTGTTCCCTAAGATGCCTCAATATAGCAGCAAAAAACTTAAACTTAAAAACAACATTCAACATTTTGATTCCTTAGTGTTAAACTTAATTTATAACTAAGTTTTACACAAAAACATTTGTTTATACATATTAAAAAATTTAAAGGCTTTTTGAAATCGAAGTACGACTTTTCTAAACGTCTGTTTGAGGAATGCTTGGCGGCAACTCAGTTTGTTTTTTTCGTTTAACTGGTGCAGTTGGCGTACCCTGTCTAGCAGGATGAGACTCTACACTAGGGTTGCTATTTACAAAACCTTGCATCTCTTTCATGGAAACACTGTGGAATGAAGACTCGCTGTAGGAGCGGGGAGGTACTATGCGAGTACCGTATTTTTCTATGTACTCGTTAACTTCAGGACTGCGGTTGTTCTCGATACCATCATTGTCCGCGTCATTGTCAGTTGTGTAAAGATAAGGGTTGTAGTATCTGTCTGATGACCTAAAACACATTATTCTATTATTCAAACATGTTTTATTAGAATATATTATATTTCTCTCTAATATAACTAATCTAAAACTTTCATCCCTAATCCAAAATAGTTGCAACTTCGTGAAATGTACAATATACACAAAATTCAGTACGCTACAGTGTCGACATGAACTAGTGTGTATTAATTCTCGTTAAACAAAATGGAGCATCTCACAAACAAAAACTAAGTACACTATAAACCCAACTTGCAAGTTACTTTAGTTAGTAGTGACTTACCTACAGTTAAAGTAAGATATGAATTTAAAAAAAGATTTGACTACTCAAACCAACTACATACCGGAAACCTTCTATATTAAGGCAACAACGTTTTTATTACCTTCCTTACCTCTTTGCATTCCTCCATAAAATACAGCAAATGACAAGAAGTACAATTAACAACAAGCAAGCTCCTGAAACACTCCAGAATGCTATTTGCAATGGCGCTCTTGGTTCCCACCAAAACTAAAATAAAATCAGAAATTATCTTACTATATTTTCCATTCTACACGTTATTAACACATTTATACTATTAAATATATTAAGGTGGTATGTCACAATGTTAAAATTTATATAATTTTTAGGTACAGTTATCGTCACTATTTCAAAACAAATCCTCAACTTATGATTATTTATGTACGTGAACTTTAAACTTTCTATAATATATAAAGACGGTACTAGATTTTTGTCTCAATACAGAGTGGCGGCAGCCGCTTATACGTATTTTGACCTCTTTAGATCTCGTCAAAGCAGTATAGCCACCTCTCTGGATCGAAACAAAATCTATTCCCGTCTTAGACAATAGTTATAAAATAACTATACAGTATAGGTAAAAGTTTATGGTCGGTATGGTAAAATTTAACAGGATATCTAACGCAGATATAAAATCATATTTTCAGCGAATAGACAAAGATAACAATCATATTTCCCCTTGGTCTCCCCTCCATAAATATTTTTAACACTCATTGCTCATTCGTGAGACGAATAGTTCCGATCAGAGATATTTTACATATTCTCTGGTTCCGATCCTAATATACCTAAAAAACTAGAGGTGGATCCTCTCGTTTTTTAAATTTTTCTCGGAACCGTTTTTCGTAAACTGTAACTAGTTGATTGTTTACCAGTATTCAAATTAGCGAGTACACAAACATATTGGCTATTATCATTTATGTGTATAAGTATTGAAGTGAAAGAACCTAACGAAGGATATATTTCATATAACTTGAAAAATAAATTAAACAATACAAATAGTACTTACATTTACATTACACATTATTAAATCGCGAATCATAATGTAACCAATGAAAACGAATGATTCAGCGCACACCAAAATGACAGTGACGTCATTCATTCTAATCATTCGTTTTCATTGGTTACATTTTAAGAAACATGCTACACGCGTGCTACTTGCTACGTGCTACTTGCCACGCCAGTTTGGTGGGCGCTCTCCCTTAAAAACAAGTTTTTCCACTTTTCTTGTTAACCGTGTTCTTTTTTTATTTAAAATTAAACCAGATTTTAAACATGTGTTCACAAGGAAAAGATTTTGTTACAATACTACAATATTTTGGTAAATGTGGTTAAGTTAGGATATACATGACGATGGTTTTTCCACCACGGTAATGGACAGTTCCAATCTCCGTTCGAAATTTTTGTGGGTAATATATCATCAGACAAATACATGTCGACATGTCGACAAATATCTCTCGATACAGGTGTATGTTTAGATGAGTCACGTCCAATTAATTCATCAAAAATACACCATGGACTTAAGTCATCTTTATTTTTTTATTTTTTATTTATTTATATACGGCATCCATTTACTTACAATTTTTACAAAGTTACATCTTAAAAACAATATATTATTAAAATAACAATCACAAGTTTTAAAAAGTTACACCTTAACAACAATAAATTATTAAAATAACAAACACCTCAGAATAATACAAACATATAAGAATAATACAGATGTACAACCAACTTTTTTTTAGTTGTTTTTTAAACAAACTAATTTTGGAGTCAAAAATATCTATTTGTCTTGGCAAGCTATTAGCACTCCGGACCAATCGTGTAGTTGGTTCATTGATACCATAATTAGTGTGGTGAAATGGCACCGAAAAGATTTCTGATTGTCTGTTGCTTCTACTAGGAACTTTAAGACTAACAAGCGATAAGAGTTGAGGACAATCTATAAAAGCATTGATAACTTTGTGTAAGAAACATAAATCCAACAATGTCCTCCTTGACTCAAGTGTTGGTAAGTTAAGACTATCTCTTACCCACTGATAGTCGTATTCCTCTCTCCTGTATCCACTCTTATAGGCTGCTACCCTCAAAAATTTTTTCTGGACTCTTTCAATCTGTTGAATGTAACAGTGGTATGATGGGGACCATACAACTGATCCAAACTCAAGAATGGGCCTAACGAGACCACAATAAAGTCTTTTAAATGTAAATAAAGACAGATCCACAGATGTGCGTTGGATAAATCCCAGCACTTTCATCGCTCTGTTTGTTACTTGGTTAATGTGGCTTGAGAATGACAGTTTGGTGTCTAACCAAATTCCCAAATCTAATACTTCATTTTTCGAGGCTAATGGCAAGTTATTTATGTAGTAAACAAATGTAATTGGATTTGTTTATATTGAGTGACATTTTGTTTAAAGTGCACCAATCATAAAACGATTTGAGATCTTCCTGTAATATAACAGCATCATTCCAGGATTGAATTTTTCTAAACAGTTTTACATCGTCAGCAAACATAAGAACACTACAATTTTTGATTTGTTGTACTAAATCAACCAGAAACAAGCAAAACAAAACAGGGCCACAATGGGAGCCTTGTGGCACGCCTGATGGAACTGTTATTTTCAATTGAAGTGTCACTTCCCAAGTTAACTGTCTGCGTACGGCCACTAACAAATTCTGTAATCCACTGAAGAAGGGGATCTAAAATACCCAAAGCTCTTAGTTTTTGTAAGAGGACCCCATGGTTTACCCGATCAAATGCTTTGGAAAAGTCAGTATAGATTGAGTCAACCCGGCACCCCTCTTCAAAGCTGTTATATATATGATTGACATACAAAACCAGGTTGGTATCTGTTGACCTCCCTCTCATAAAGCCAAATTGTTCAGGATTAAAAATGCCTCTATAACTCCATGTCAGTTTCTTACTAACCAAACAATCAAGCAACTTGGGCAGCTCCGACTGATTACAGACAGCTCGATAGTTTGATATATCGTTCCTTGCACCCGATTTAAAAATCGGCTTTAAAAAACTTTTCTTCCAGAGACTGGGAAAGCTACCAGTACCAAGTGATCTGTTAAAAATAAACAAAATTGGTTTTGTAAGTACACATATACATTTTTTCAGAAAATAGGCTGGGATTCCATCCGGCCCTGCACATAATCTGTTTTTCCAACTTGCAATAGTATCGTAGACCTCAGTTGCTGTAAGTATTATAGAACTCAAACAAATAGAACTGTCCAAATTAAAAAAAGGTAAAGTATCTTTTTGTTCATCTGAGTAGACTGATGAGAAATATTCTACGAACATATTGGCAGAGTCCTTCATATTTAAGCCAACCCTATCCTTATAGACCATTCTGGATGGTATATTATACCCATTTCTTTTGCTTTTAATATAAGACCAAAAATATTTTGGATTATCGGAAATGTTATTTTGTATCCCATCTAAATACTGTTTCTGACAGTCTGCTCTTAAAATTTCACACTGGTTTCTTAAAGCCACAAAACGGTCATAATCATCTTGCCTACCACTAATTTTAAATGGTTTGTGGGCCTGTTTTTTACATATAATTAGGTTACGCAGCTCTGACGAGAACCAAGAGGGAAAGGTAGAGGTTTTATATTTCTTTAGTGGAACAAAGTGTTCTATCAGTGAGTAAATTATATCATAAAAAATGACCACCATACTATCAACTGTACCATTAATCAGTACTTTATCAGTTTCTTTTTCTTGTACTGGTTGATTATCAAGATTTACTAAACTTATGCAAAGACTCGTTTCATTCGTTTTCCATAGGTGAAGAACAAGCTTTTAAAAAGTTTGCAGGGTGGATTCCTGGATATAAACTGCCAACAAGAAAAACTGTCAGGTTCATTACTTCAGGAATGTTATGTCAAAACTGATTTGATAAGAGATAAAATAAAAAGTCCTATTTTCGACAATTCTGCAAAAAACACATTTAAAAAAAAGTACCTTATCTTCAGAGAGGCTTTTAAAATATTAATTACAAGATAACAAAGTTCCCAAACGGCCAATCCAAGACGTGAAAACTAGGTAGAGCTTCACCTACTACATGTTAAAAAAATGACCGAGTTAGAAGAGGCAATCCGTTCCACATCGGTATTACATAATACAGACTTAGACTTAGACCAAATCTAAATAAATAACACTGGATTATTTGTTCTCAGCTTTCCCAAATTTTACGGTCGTTTAAAGAAATAACAAGTACAATGAGTGAACAAAAATACTTGAAGGGTAGTTCAGTGATTGTTATGGTACGCTGCCTGCAAGAATCTTGCAATAAAATTTTAGCAAACGGTAAATTTAGCAATAAGGTTTAGTAAACCTTACATCCATAGTATCCGACGTAGTACAATTACTAATATCGGGTTTAGCAAAAAGATTTAAAGGGATAGAACAGAGTGGCACATTGTTATTATGTACATTTATGGATTCACCATTTAAAGTGCAGGGTTTTTCTGATAAAAATGAAGATAAAAAAATTAAAGAAAAAGTTAAGAAGCTGGTTACTTCTATAATTAACGAACAAGAAGATTGTACTATTCAAAATCAACCAGTACAAGAAAAAGAAACCAATAAAGATGACTTAAATCCATGGTGTATTTTTGATCAATTAATTGGAGATGGCTCATCTGTGGAAAAACCATCGCCATGTATATCCTAACTTAACCACTATTAGTATTGTTAATGTGAACACATGTTCAAAATCTGATTTAATTTGAAATAAAAAAAGAAGACGGTTAATAAGAAGTAAAGTTGAAAAACTTGTGTTTTTGAATGTCAATTTAGACTATTCGCGATTTAATAATAACGTGTAATGTAAATGTAAGTACGAGTTGCTATTTCTATTGTTTAGTTTATTTTTCAAGTTATAATAAATAAATCATTAGTTTCTTTCACTTCAATAAATATACACATAAACGATAATAGCCATTATGTTTATTTATATAGGTACTCTCTTACTTAAAACTACTTTTAAACAATTATTGTTACTTGTTTACAAAAATTTAAATTTTTAAATGCATTCATTTTTTTTTGGAATCCTGAGAAAACTAACAAATATTTTTGAAAAATTTAAATGCAGAATAAAAGATTACATTATTACCGAGGGCCGAAAGTTCCTTAGAATAAACAAAAAGGTTTTTGAATGAAATATTTGAAATTAAAATTCACACTAATTTTTTTTTTACCCCTA